AGTGAGTGTGTGTGTGTGTGTGTGTGTGAGAGAGAGAGTGTGTGTGTGTGTGTGTGTGTGAGAGAGAGAGTGTGTGTGTGTGTGTGTGTGTGAGAGAGAGAGTGTGTGTGTGTGTGTGTGTGTGAGAGAGAGAGTGTGTGTGTGTGTGTGTGTGTGTGTGTGTGTGTGTGTGTGAGTGAGTGAGTGAGTCTGATGTAAAATCGAAGCACTAAGGCCCTCTAGTGTCAGAGCCGGAGAGCGCAGGGATCCTGAGATTTACAGCCACAGAGCATCAGCGCTGAGTGGGAAGCTCATGATATGAATTAGATGAAGTTTTATTATATCATCATAAAACTTGGCAAAGTCAACTGCAGCCTTGAACGTTTTTTTGTTTCGGCCTCAAAGACAATTCATCAGAAAGAGCTGATTCTCTGTGGATCGATGAGGCCGGACCCGTCGTGTCAGACTCAGTATATTCAAAGCCTCTGCCGTCACACGGTGCATCCTGGGATATCGAGCTGTTTGAATAACCTTTCCGTGCTTGTTTCGTTCCAGTGTTGAGTATCCGTGGCGCCCAGGAGGAGGAGTCTCCCGATGCCCAGCTGATGCGATTGGACAACATGCTGCTGGCGGAGGGCGTGTCCGGGCCGGAGAAAGGGGGCGGGGCTGCGGCGGCTGCGGCGGCGGCGGCGGCATCGGCTGGAGTCGGAGCCGATAACGCCACCGAACACTCCGATTACAGAGCCAAACTCACCCAGATCCGCCAGATCTACCACACCGAGCTGGAGAAGTACGAACAGGTCAGAAAACCTGCAGAATATGTGCAGCGGCCAATATTTGGCAGCCAGTTTACCATACTGAACATGGCGATAAGTTTGTATAAGCAAAAATGCGAAAGAAAGATTTTGACAGACTTCTAGCTTCTAGCACTTTTACAGGGGATGCTGCTTAAAGTACTAATAATATTAATGTGAACTATGCTTGAATAACTATGCTATTAATAATTTTGAATTGTATTTTATATCATATATTCTTATAATATTATAGTATATAGATATTATATAAGATAGTTATATAAATATCATTATTTATAACAATATTGAACTTATAGTAATAATATTGAACTGAATTTAAACAATTGAACTGAATAATGACACTATTATCTTCTGCTTTCCACTGCTTTAAACTATTTAGTATCCTTGAGATACTATAATAATGTTTAATAATATTTTGAATAATTTTTTATTTTAATATTTTCTGTTTTCTTTTTAATTTAAGTTAAAGTTTGAGTAATTTTGTTGTTTTTTGTCATTTTTAATAGTTTTTTTATTTGTCTATATGGTTTTTATTTATTTTTATTTTTAGTTATTTTTAGTTATTTTAGGACATCAAGTTAAACTAAATTAAAATGAGAAAAATAATTTTTTTATTATATTTTTTACATTTCAATTAGCAGTTATTTTCTTTCAAGTAAGCAACATTTTTGAATGGTTTTCATTTTAGTTTCAGTTTTAGTTTTAGTTAACTATAATAACCCTGCTATTTACAATCTAAATTAAATCTGATTCAAAAATTGATCAATTTTCCTTTTTTTTTTTTTTTTTTTTTGCTTGAACAACTATGCTATTAATCTGAATTTGTAAGGATTTCACTATTATATTAAGCATCTTAAAACTTTGACATACTCAAAACCAGACAGATTTTTTGACTGATGGAAATCATTTTTATTTTATTTGGAATAACATGCATTGAAGAATCGTTTGAAGTAACACCAGCAACGTTTGCTTAAGTAAACACTTCAGTTTTGATTTCATGTTGACTGTAATATCTCATAATTTAGATTAGTGCAACATCTGTTTGACTGCCGTTGTTATACTTTAATGTAGTGTGTGTGTGTAGCTCAGCATTTTTTTTTAGAAAATGACTGATGGTTTCTCTAGATAAGAGCCTTATTCCTCAGCTGGGATCGTGTAGAGCTCTTTGAAGCTGCACTGAAACTGCAATTTGACCTTCAGCCCATTGGTCTCCATTGAAGTCCATTATATGGAGAAAAATCCTGGAATGTTTTCCTCAAAAACCTTAATTTCTCTGCGACTGAAGAAAGAAAGACATGAACATCTTGGATGACATGGGGGCGAGTAAATTATCAGGAAATGTTTATTCTGGAAGTGAACTACTGCTTTAAATGTGCTTTACAAATAAAATTGTGCTCACATACTTCTCTCATACAAATGTGCATAAGTTGCAGCACGTTTCAGGTGATTAAAAAAACGTAAATATTTGAAAACTTACCACGACTTCTATTTTGGGAAATCTGGTACTCAGTGGCTTGAAATGAAACTTTTTATTTGTTTGTTTGTAAAATAATATGCTGATTTACTGCTCAAGAAACATTTCTGATTATCATCAATGTTGAAAACAGTTGTGCTGCTTAATGTTTTAGTAAAAACTGTGATACATTTTACTTCTCAGGATTCTTTGATGAATCGAAAGTTAAAAAGAACAGCATTTATTTGAAGTAGAAATCTTCTCTAACATTATAAATGTCTTTACTGTTTTTTTAATTATTAAAAATCTTAAGGAAATTCTTGAAGGACATTTATTACTTAATTAATTGCATTATATAAGTAGATTTGGAATATGAGTTGCAGCATGTTTTTAAATGATTAAAAAAGTGATTCTGAAAATACAGTAATCCAAGGGCTTGAATTAAACATTTCGGTTCGAAATCTTTTTTTTCATTATTTGAAAACATCTTATGGAAATGCATTATTTAATTAATTGATTGCATTATATAAGTCACTTTGGAATATAAGTCAGAGCATGTTTTTAAATTATTAAAAAACATGACTTATAATTGGAAAATACGGTAATCCAAGGGCTTGAAATACAATTTACTGTTTGGAATCTTTTTTTAAATGATTAAAACTCCGAAGGAAATTGTGTATTTCAAGCGTGTGTGAATGTGGTTTGTATGTAAATGACTGGTGCTGAGATCAGGCTGCTGTAGGTTCTTAAATACTCAGGACTTGACTGGTTAAAGCCATCAGCATCGTGATGAGCATCATTCATATTTAAGTGCGAGTATCAGTGCCTGCCATACTGGCTCTCAGTGGGGTCAGACAGTAGATCCATCCCTGATGATAAACCGTACGGACAGAGGAGAGGTGATGTACTGAAATGCATTCTGGGACAGGGCCAGGTGTCCTCTGTTTGTTTGTTCACAAAAGGACATTCATAGCTGTCATAGTGGACCGCAAACACACACACACACACACACACACACACAGACGGACCACCCGGCACAAGAGCGAAAACACCCTTCATCATCCGCTCTGTAACTGTTGTTGTGGTCTTCCCATGAGTCCTGGTTCTCCTGACGCTCTCTGCTCTCTTACTCTTCTGTTTGTGTCGCTCCGTGAGTAATGACAATCTCATGCCAATGAGGCCATTTCAGAATTAAGGCACAATATTGAAAGTGTAACGACTCCGTCACCCTCATTTTTATGCGTGATTAATGAACTCTATGGAGGAATGAGGGCTCAAGAGATGGATGAGTTTTTATAGATATCACTGCATTACAATACATAGACAGCATCCACACTGTCATACGTTCACCAGCATACTGTTCATTCAGAATTCATATGTGGACCCGGAATAGCGCTAAATTATTTTTGCTGTTTTTGAGACAGTTAATTATATTTTTTATGGGTGATATTTAATATTATGATTGTTGGTAGTGTTCACAATGAAGCTTCAGTGTATAGTTTTAAGTAGCATGGAAACATTTGGTGATTTTTAATGTTTTTATTTTCTCCAATTTTATTTGATCAAAAATACACAAAAAAACTGTAAAATTGTGAAATATTATTACAATTTAAAATAACTGTTTACTATTGACATATATATTAAAATTTAATTTATTTCTGTGATGCGCAGCTGTATTTTCAGCATCATTACTCCAGTCTTCAGTGTCACATGATTCTTCAGAAATCATAATAATATGCTGATTTGCTGCTCAAGAAACATTTCTGATTATCATCAATGTTGAAAACAGTTGTGCTGCTTAATGTTTTAGTAAAAACTGTGATACATTTTACTTCTCAGGATTCTTTGATGAATCGAAAGTTAAAAAGAACAGCATTTATTTGAAGTAGAAATCTTCTCTAACATTATAAATGTCTTTACTGCCACTTTTGATAAATTGAATGCACGCTTGCTGAATAAAACTATTAATTTCTTTCAAAAAAATCTTACTCAGACTTTTTTGAATCATATGTAGAAAAGGTGGATAACTGTTTAGTACTTTTGTAATCAGGCATAGAAAGTTTGAACTCTTTAAAATAATAAGCTTTTCTTTGATCAAATATACTTAAGTTAGTCTAGGATTCTGTTTTTAAAACTTTGTTCTGCTTTGACCATTAGAATTAAACAGGCTGTTGTTGTTTCTGTATGTAAATGAGCTCTGTTATGATTGGCTAATTGGCTAGTGACAAAAAGTTGCGTAAAACTGAACTGAATTGTTGATGTGTAAAGGTGGGTGGCCATATGTTAATGAGCTCACAGTTGTGATGTCATAACGTTTATGGTTACTGAACAAGTAGCTAAAAGTCCTGACTGAACCCTGTTTTCCATGATATGAGCTCTTGAACCTGTTTCTGTAAGCCGTATCTTGTTATGGTAACATGCATGTGTCTGTCTTTCCCTCTTTCCAGGCATGTAACGAGTTCACGACCCATGTGATGAACCTGCTGAGAGAGCAGTCTCGCACGCGGCCCATCTCGCCCAAAGAGATCGAGCGCATGGTCAACATCATCCACCGCAAGTTCAGCTCCATCCAGATGCAGCTCAAGCAGAGCACCTGCGAGGCCTTCATGATCCTGCGCTCCCGCTTCCTCGACGCCAGGTCCTTGCATGTTGCATTTGTTTCATGCATTTGAGCGCAAATCCACTCGTAATCAAACCCTGCGATCTCATTCTTTTCCCCGGAGCGGATCACGCTCAGCGCTAAGCTTCTAACTATCACATCCGTGTCAACAAACGCTCCTGCGCTTTATTTGCACACGTGTGTTTTCCTGTTTCCCTTTAGGGCCGCATCCAAACCCACACACGCTTTGCTATGTTGAGTCCATCCCTTTCTCAGTGTAATCGCTTGTTCTCTTTGAAACGTGCCTGGGATTTGCATACATTTCGGTGCGGATAAATCACGCTGGAAGCCTGGAGTCGGAGGCATAACATTTAAATGAGCTTCGTGTTTCCTCGCAGCACTCAGATTCCATTCTCCGTCTCTTTGGAGCATGCTCAGTTCCTCTGATTAATCCTCTCTCCGGCTGAGACCATGCTGTGCTCATTTGCATTTAGTGAAGAGGGGTTTTGGAGAGGAAATCGACTCACCCTCTGTTCCGGCCCTTCAGTACTGCATATGTAAACCCCCCGAGATGAGCTCCAATCGCACACTCTTAACCCACAGATGAGTGATGCCGAGAGGAGGTTGAATTCATTGGCACCAAAAGCTCAATTTACGCTAGTTTTAAAGCTCTTCTCTTTGAGTATGTGTGGGGTCTGCTTTATTCTTCCTTTCAAGCATTGAAGCATCTGCCTGCTGGATTTGTCTTTGCACATTTACACGAAATAGGCTGCAAAATATGGCCTTAATGTATGAAAATAGTTGCTTGTGCTGCTTTAATTTACATGTATTTTACGTATTTCATGTTACCAATTTAGATTGGGATTAATATGTAGTTTAAACTTCAAAATAAAGACAATTAAATTAAATTAATTACAATAATATAATGCAATAAAATAAAATAATAAATGAAATAATAAAATATTATTATACAGATTGAAATAAACAGGTAACCGTGTTGCATATTCAGTTTAAATCAATCTATCACTCAGTATAAAGTAACATTAAAGTAAAAGTAAATGAATAGAAAACAAAATGAATTTGAAATAAAATACCATAACAATTATATAAAATGAAATGAAATATAATAAATTGAAATAAATAGATAACAGGGTTGCATATTCAGTTTAAATGAGTCTGTTACTCAGTATAAAGTAAAATTAAAGTAGAAGTAAATTAATTTTTTATTAAAAATAGAAAAATGAATTTGAAATGAAATAATATAAAATGAAACTGAATGAAATTAAATGAAATAAATAGGTAACAGTTGCATATTCAGTTTAAATCAGTAGAGAGCTAGTTAGTTGATATATCATTATTGATCAAATTATTGTTTATTTCCAATAAATTAAAGAACAAATATTTGTTTGATCATTTTTCTGACAGTATCTTTGGTAACAGGGTTGAATAGTAGCTTTTACCTTTTATACCTTTTACTTTTCATGCTAGGTTTTATGATTTATCCAACTTTTCAATTTTACTAGTTTATCAAACATTGAAAACTCTCATATTTCATGGTAGCTTTGACCTGCTTTTCAAGCTGGATTTGATGTTTTATCCAGTTTTTTTAATTTTACTAGTTTATCTAAGAATAAATAATCTCTCATTAAATCCCACAACAACAAAAACGTGTGGTTTGTGTCTCTAATTTTCTTAAAGTAATGGGTCACCTAAGTGTTACTTACCAGCAGCAGTTACTTACTCTATATTTACCAAAATATTTGATATGAAACATGAAGTATACACTCTAAAAAATGCTGGGTTAAAAAGGGACAAACCCAGCTATTGGGTTGTTTTGACCCAGCTATTGAGTTGTTTTGACCCAGCTATTGGGTTGTTTTGACCCAGCTATTGAGTTGTTTTGACCCAGCTATTGGGTTGTTTTGACCCAGCTGGCAAGATGTCCAAATCTGATTTGTTTTGTGTTGCTCTCTCTCTGTCTGCACAGGAGGAAAAGACGAAACTTCAACAAACAGGCCACAGAGATCCTGAACGAATATTTCTACTCTCATCTCAGTAACCCGTATCCCAGCGAGGAGGCCAAAGAAGAGCTGGCCAAGAAGTGTTCGATCACCATGTCGCAGGTACAACACTGAAAACCATCCTTTCATTACCACCACCCGAAATATAGTACCCACAAATCGTTCTACTGCTCTCTCACAGTTCAGGGATAGGAATGGTTCTTTAATATTCAGTATGGCATGTTTAGCATATTTATATACCATGCATTTTCAAAAAAATACCATATAGAGTTACAATTGCACGCTTTCCAAAAATGCTGTCCAGGTAGGCAGCTCGCCAGATATTGAGACACATCCGATGTTTGTTTCTACCTGTTTTGCATGTAAAATATATCAGTAATACTCACGTGAGTTCAGCCTCATGCAACTCGAAAACAAAATCATTTGCAGCATGGCACCACATGCCTCTTAGCATTTTTCATCTGCTGCGCTAAATGCATAATGCATTCTAAACTATTTAATAAATTTAGCTGAAATGATTGTATGATGCATTTAGGCCTGGTTTTGAGTCAGACTCGCGGGATGAGTGATGACTGCCGCGCCGTTTGTAATATAGAAACACCTTTAGCCTCTCGCGGGAACGGGAAGCTTAGCCGCAGGATTGATTAGCTTTTCATGGTAATGGTGTTTATCATTAGCGCAGAGACTCATCCGCTGCTGTATTAGCCGTAATGGGCGTTAGTGTGTGTTGAGTGATTGCTGTCAGTGTATACTGTGATCATAGCTGGCAGCGTGTAAGTGATCATTTATTTTAATGTTAGTGTGTGTCCATCATGGTTAGACCTCTGTCCTTGTGGCCATCACAAGTATTGTCGATAGCATCCTTTATTGTCGTGAAGTCTGCCAGCCACTGTTGCATTTAGCTTCAACTGGTCATATGTGCTGTGATCAGAATATGCTATCACAATAAAACTGAAAATCAAAAATTGAGGCTCTTGAGCACTTTTTCAGTCCACGTTTGTGGTTTGTAAATGCACTGAGCATTTTATTTTTGCACAAAGATTGCTAGTATCTTGGCATGTAATCATTTTTTGGATATGCAGCAAATGAATTGCAAGTATTGAGTTTTTACTCTTTTGGAATCTTTTAGCAGTAGTTCAAACTTTTTTAGCAAAGGCTGCACATTGAGTGTGTACTTGGTTATGTATTTCATTGTTCTACACTGCACAAAAGTTTCACTCAAAAACCCCATGCAAATGGCAAGTAACACATTCATTAATAAATGTGAAGTTTTCAAGTAGAAAGACTGAAATAGTATTTTCAGTACTCCAATAATTGTTTTATTTAGAACTGAGAAAAATCATTTTTACAGTGGTTGCGTTGCTGTAAAGAATCCCAAGTTTTCTGCTGGCCATTGTGGTGGCGTTCATGTGTGCCGAGTTTATTATTATTTTTATAAAAAATATTTGTTGACGCACCGAAAATACTATTTCAGTCTTTCTACTTAAAATTTTTACATTGAAATTTAACATGATCTCACTATGTTGTAGGGAGTTTTCGTTTTGGTTATTTAACGCTTTGTTTGTATTTTTTGTCAAGAAAATATCTGAACTTTTAATACTTAGATTAAATAATGAATCAAGAAGGAGAAAAGATTAAAGAATTAAAAATTGTGAGTGCATTGAACTATAATATTCAATGCATCGTGTGTACAATATACACTACTGTTCAAAGTTTGGGGTCAGTATGATGTTTTAAAATAAATTATTACTTTTATTCACCAAGGACACGTTAAATTGATCCAAAGTGACAGTAAAGGTATTTATAATGTTACAAAAGATTTAATTTCAAATAAATGCTGTTCTTTTGAACTTTCCATTCATCAAAGAATCCTGAAAAACCATTAACGTTCCCACAAAAATATGAAGCAGCACAGCTGTTTCCAACATTATAATAATCAGAAATGTTTCTTGAGCAGCAAATCAGCATATTATTATGATTTCTGAAGATCATGTGACACTGAAGACTGGAGTAATGATGCAGAAAATTCAGCTTTGATCACAGAAATAAATTACAGTTTAACAGATATTCACATAGAAAACAGTTATTTTAAATTGTAATAATATTTCACAATTTTACAATTTTTACTGTATTTTTATCAAATAAATGCAGCCTTGGTGAGCAGAAGAGACTTCTTTCAAAAATCTTACCGACCCCAAACTTTTGAATGATATACTGTACATATTTGCATACTACACATGATTTTTGCATGATGTAATGTGTGACCAGTGTGTCAAGTTGCATCTAAGAACCTGTTTATTTTTCATTGTCCATCATGGTTTGTTCGCATGGGGCTCAAGAGGTCACAGTATTGGAAAACACATGTCTTAACAATGTTTTTCTGGGCAGGTTTCCAACTGGTTCGGAAACAAACGGATCCGATATAAGAAGAACATCGGAAAATTCCAGGAAGAAGCCAACATCTACGCGGCCAGAACGGCTGTGAGCGCGGCGAGTGTGTCGGCACATGGCAGCCAGACCAATTCCCCGTCCACTCCAAACTCAGCAGGTGAGGCGATATAAACTCTCCACTCATTCCCATGATGCCTGATGAGGGGCAGGACTTCATACAGCCATGCAGCTGGAGAGCTGATGTCACACTGTGGGAAATGTCTTTTGTTAGTAAATGAGAAGACTTTACTGTATGTGGAGCTGAAAGCTAGTCTCTGAAAAACGATTGAAAATGTTTTCACCTGAAACGGGACGAGGGCTCTGTGGGGTCACAGCATGTTCTGCTCCTGTCTCAACTCGGAGGACTCGTCTAGTTAAAACACACTGCTTTGTGCTCTGTTAAAGCCATGAGAACTTATGACCATAGACTTCAGTGAGTTATTTCTGCACAAATGAAAACAAGACTGAGGGAGAGACAATATATCATACTGATGGATGTCAGTCCTTCAGCTGACAAAATATTAAACATACACTACAGTTCAAGAGTTTGGGGTCGGTAAGATATTTATGTTTTTGAAAAAAGTCTCTTCTGCTCACCAAGGCTGCATTTATTTGATAAAAAAACTGTAATATTGTGAAATATTGTTACTATTTTAAATATTTAAAAGTATTTTTTTATCTATGTGAATTTATTGTAAACTGTAATTTATTGCTGTGATCAAAGCTGAATTCGCAGCATCATTACTCCAGTCTTCAGTGTCACATGATCTTCAGAAATCATTCTAATATGCTGATTTGCTGCTCAAGAAACATTCTGATTATTATCAATGTTGAAAAATCTAATATCAATGCAGTTGTGCTGCCGAATATTTCTGTGGAAACCATCATACATTTTATTTTTCAAGATTCTTTGATGAATAGAAAGTTCAAAAGAACAGCATTTGTTTGAAATAGAAATCTTTTGTAACATTATCAATGTCTTTACTGTCACTTTTAAAATAAAAATGAATTTCTTTTTTTTTTTTTTATTACATTTTACTGACCCCAAACTTTTGAACAGTAGTGTAAATTTTTAACAAGTTATGGATTATAAAACTTAAGACATTTTTTCTCATTGAAAATTCTGTTTCACACAAAAAGACGAGTGAAAACATCAGACTATAGAAATAAAATCGTATGCAAATGTGAATGTTGACTCAAGATCAATCAAAGATTTTACATGTCTTTCTCACAAACATGTTTCGCATCAGATTAAAATTAATATTGCCATTTAACTGAAAAAATAAATTCTGTTGTTATTTTTATAAGCTCAAACCAAATATGCACATATCTGAGTTTGCTTTTAGCTGGATCTCTCCTGCTTAGCATTGATTCTTGATCTTCGTCGTCTTTATGGGCTGCTGGATCTTATGCTCTGAAAAGCTTATCTAACTATAACTCTGCATTCCTGCTTCCTTGAATTCTTCAAACTCATTTCTCTGGCTTGTTCTGTCTCTCTCTGTTGTGTCTGTGCACCTCTCAGGTTCTGCTGGCTCTTTTAACATGTCAAACTCTGGCGATTTGTTTATGAGTGTTCAGTCTCTGAATGGGGACTCGTACCAGAGCTCTCAGGTGGGAGCCAATGTGCAGTCACAGGTATAGTGCCAATAAATCACTAAACAACCCTTAGCGCACCAGCACACACACTACAGCTCTCGTCGTGGGGGTGTAGCAACATGATAAACATTTCCAGTGTGTGTGTGTTTTAAGTAAAATCTTGATGTAGGAAAATATTTTCTTCTTTACGATATTCTAAAGTTTCTAAAGCTTGTGAACTGCCTACATAGGAAGCTGACTGAATTTGAACCTGATTTGAAACGCTCTACATAGACAGTAGTGGTCAACTGATATATCGGCCGATATTTTTATATATTTTTTTTTATTGGCATAGGCCAAAAAGTTTATCTGTTTTTGCCAATGTGTCGGAAGCAGGACTTTTATTTTGACAGCGCAGAATCAAGAAGTTGATTTATCTGATTTATCATATGAATGTATAAATATGTAAAATAAATATCAATTTCATTTCCGCATTTGTTATGCATGTGCTTCTACTATCTTTATATTAAATAGTGGGATATGATACATATAGACTTTATATTGGCCACCCTGCTCTCTAAGATTTCAGCATTGGCAATCACAAAAATCAATATTGGTCAGCTACTAATAGACAGCAACTCAAATAATGAGTTCAATAGAGCTGCTAATGAATAAAAGCATAAACATACACATAAATTGTGTAAAATATTACAATTTGATCATTTTAAATTATATCTGAACCTTTCTATTAATACTTTTCAGAATTGCATGACATATACTGTTCAAAAGTTTGAGGTCAGTAAGATTTTATTTATTTATTTATTTATTGGAAAAAATACTTTCTATTCATCAAAGAATCGTGAAGAATAAAATGTATCACGGTTTCCACAAAAATATGAAGCAGCACAACTGTTTTCAACATTGATATTAATCAGAAATGTTTCTTGAGCAGCAAATCAGCATATTAGAATGATTTCTGAAGATCATGTGACACTGAAGACTGGAGTAATGATGCTGAAAATACAACTTTGATCGCAGCAATAAATTACAGTTTACAATATATTCACATAGAAAACATTTATTTGAAATTTTAATAATATTTCACAATTTCACAATTTTTACTGTATTTTTGATCAAATAAATGCAGCCTTGGTGAACAAAAGTTGGTGACCAAGTCTTACAGTGTATGTATATTTTTAATCAATATTTATCTTGTTTTGTCTGCAATTTTGGATCATTTTTGTTCTAATGCGTTTCGGAAGTCCACAATGCTACTGTAGATTTTGCCCAAAATTGTATCTTATAAGGCAGCAAAATCTAGGTAGGCAGCTCACCAGGCTTCAGAACAGAGCCATAGAGACAGGCTTTGTAATGTGTTTTATTGTTCGTGTGTCATCATGTGTTTGTACGTCTGTCTTTGTGTCGTCTTTTACTGTTGTTTGCTTCCTTTGACCTTGCTTTCTTCTTTGTCGTGTCGTCTGACTTTGCTTTGTTTGCGACCTTGCGTTCGCGTCTCGCGCGCTCTGACTTTGCCGTGTTGTTTTGCGGTGTTTCAGGTGGATACCCTTCGCCATGTTATCAGCCAGACAGGAGGATACAGTGACGGCCTCGCAGCAAACCAGATGTACAGTCCGCAGGGCATCAATGTAAGGCGAGAAAAAAACACTTCTTTTTTTCCCCCTTCCTCTTGTTTTGCCCTCTACCAATTATTTCAAAGCCATAGGGCTCAGAATGCCACTTAGTGCGACTTGTCTGGGAATCGTGGTCACTTAGTTGATTGCCTGTGTGTCGCGAGCGCCACGGGCGGCGCGCTGCCCAGCGAGACGTGGACACGAGAGCGGCCCCGTGTCTGTCTGAGCCCATCACATCCAATCAGATCGGCCCGGCACCTGCAGCCACGCGCCCCGCTGACGGGAACAGGTGACACCGGCTGCAAATGTATGGCCCCTCGCCGTGCCCCAAAGTCACCTGACTCTGATTATCCCCCCAAGGGTGGCGCACAAAAACACTCGGCGCTAAAAATACAGCCGCTCGCCTATGGTACTCATAGGAGGACATCCTGTGTGTTTTCGCTCGCATTCGGGAAAGGAGGGGCGCTGCTGGCAACTTGGCGCGCCAAGAAAATTCACAGCGACAAGCCGTGTGGTAAAGGGGAAAATCAATACGACAGACACACGGGGAGCGGAGTGTGGACTTGGGACAGCAATCCAAGCACATTGCTCAGATCAGGTTCCTGCCGAGCTAATGGCTTTGACAGCGAGCCGAGAAGAGAAAGAGAGAGAGAGAGAGAGAGAGTAGAGAGGGAGGCCGGTCTGCGTCGCCGTCCCGCTGCCGTTCTGCCGCGCTTCACCGGCCGTATGTTAATGAGATCAAACACGTTCGCGGGAAAAGCACGGATGTATGCAAATCCCATCCTGCATTTTCTGGAGAATTGTGGGCTTGATTTTGATGGACAGACGCACAGAACGGCGCTCAATTCACAAGTATTTTAATAACGCATTTAATACAATACAAAGCATTTATATTGCATAACATAGGCCTACACAGGTCCCATGGTCAAGTTTACAAATATATAATAAAGATAAATATATAATATTTAGTATCTGTGTTATTGTATAAACTCTACTGTTCAAAATATTGAGGTCAGTAATTTTTTTTAAGCAATTCTTCTTCTTTTTCAGCAAGAATGCATTTCATTCATTCATCAAAGTGACAGTAAATACATTTTTAATGTAAAAAATGTATAAACGGTTTCCACAAAAATAATAAGCTGCAACTTTTTAAAGTTGATATTAATCAGAAATGTTTCTTGAGCAGCAAATCAGCATATTAGAATGATTTCTGAAGATCATGTGACACTGAAGACTGGAGTAATGATGCTGCAAATTCAGCTGCGCATCACAGGAATTAATTACATTTTAGCATATAATCACATAGAAAACACTTATTTTAATAGTATTTGTAATAATATTTAATAATATTACTGTTTTTACTGTACTGATTGATTGATTGATTGATCAAATAAATGCATTTTTTATATTTTTAAAAATCTTACTGACCCTAAACTTTTGAATGGTAGTATATGATATTATATAATATGTAATATTGTGACATGAAGTGTCATTGAAATGAATTAAATCTTAAAATGATTTGCATAGTTAACGCAAATTCTAAATCTAAAATGTTTTAACTGTTAGACATTGATTGTGTGAGTGCAGTCTCTATTAAATTATTTAATAGTATTTTATCCACATTAATCCTTATCCACGGAAATAAATTGATCAGAAGGTGTGTGATCCCTCAATATTATTCATAGTTTTGTAGCAAATTATTGCATCAGTATAAAATGACTGTTCACAGGAGTACATATACAGAGTTCTGGCATGAAACTCTAGATGGCGCAGTCCGATAGATCTAACTCAATCTGACCTAATGACATCATTATCACATGGCACAGCTGATTGGTTCTCTCCTGTATCGGTAGCCAATGAGCTCGCTGCTCAACATTCAAATATATGACTAGTGCTTGCTTGCCTCAGAAACCCTCCACCTTCCCCAGCTCCACCTGTATAGATCTGCTACGAGGTGATTCGTGTATGCTATATGGGGGTTATTTCATGTATGTTATATTTGCAGCAGCAGTATTTCTTACATGCTCACAGCAGCATGTTGTGGATGTATTAGCAGTAGCAAGTCTCGGACCTTGCTCTGCCGCTGCAGCAGCGTAGCAGATCTATTCCGCCAAGACCAAATACATTAACATTGTCATGTACATTGCCATGCCAAAAAATATATATATATGACAGAAATATATATCAGCTAATTTAAGACTTTGAATGTAGCTCATCCCTTCAAAGCTGCAAGATTTTGTGTTATAATGCATATAGATTTGCTCCAAAAGTATTTGGACACTTGTCACTGCATTAGAGAAGTTCACCACATGAATGCTTTCCACTAGTGTCTCACAACCACAAAGTGGCACAGCTCACTTTGCTTGTACAGTGTCTTTCCTTAAAATTAATGACACCTGCTTTGATATTTTATTATCTAATGCAATAATATTCATGCATTTTTTATTGTGATTGAAGTGTTGAGATACTTTGGGGGCCGCTGTACATTAAATGGAGAGAAACAGAAAGCATTAGTGGGTGGCACACAAATTACAGAGATGAGATTTGATACTGTGTCTGTTGATGGTTTTTCAGCCTGCATTCAACAGCAGCATTTAAGACATTTCCTCTGTTCTTTTATTGGGTTGGATTGAGGAACAGACCAGCGTTTGCAGCTCTTTCTGTCTGTGAGATTAGTGATGCATTCTGCTGCGTCTCTGTGTTTTCTCTCAGTGTCCTTCACTGATTCTTGATTCTTTTCTCTCAATGCCTCTCAGTGTTTGTGTGTGTGTGTCAGTATAAATGACAAGCATCACACACAGAGCTCTTACACGCGACTCCTGTTTTCTGATGTAATCATTTCAGACTGACAGAAACCTGCGCTGTCAATTCAATCACTGATAATATTTAATTGGCAAACTTTTTTGACTTTGTAAACACTAACAAAGAAATTATTAATTTTTTTTTTTTTTTTGATTTTAAGAAGAATCTTACAGTATGTTCACTAAAGCTGTATTCATTTGACCAGAAATACACTAAAAACAATCAGATTGATGAATAAGTTGCATTTATATTAATACTGAATATATTCAAATAGAAAAGTTATTTTAAATTGTAATGATATTTCACTGTTATTACAGTTTAAGTCAGCTGTCATCTATTTGAATATACTTCTAAATGTAATTCATTCCTGTGAAGTTTGGGGTGTTTTTTTTACCGCCTCACACGCTCCTCTCTCCAGTGTGTACATGACTTCTGAAAACACAAGAGCGCATCATCAAACGTCTTCATGCTACCTCTCAAAACATCCGTCAGCAAACACATCCAGACCAAGATAACGGGAGCTTTAGACTAGTCACAAACATCTATACTGTATGTCAACCCTGCCTTCATCGTCACAACAAACATGTTATGTTTGAAACATTTTTGCAATTTTACCATAGTGCCAAAGTACTTTTATACATCCCTGTAGGAACTCATTTTACATTATAATAGACTTCTTATGCTTGAAAAAGCAGTTTGCACTGCGTCTGAGCTGAACTAGAGTTCTGCTTGTCTAATAACCTTTACTTTGAATCTCAAAACATTTGGTTTGTGTGCATAAGGGAAAATCATAATTCCCTGCTTTAAGGAGAAATAAAGGCAATGCAGTTCAGATATACAGTAGATATCAAATTGTTCATTTCTAAAGGTTATTAGCACAACAGTACCATTATTTAGCATTTTAAATAAGATTCACATGCATCACACTTCAGGTTATTCATGCAATCTTGATGAATTTTTGTCTGATATTCATGTACAGACACACAAATCCCTTTATATAGCATCATCATCATCATCATCATGGCTGAAGGAGTTTCATCAGCGCACATGAGAATGCAATAAAAGGCAATCAGAAGTGAACAAATCCCAAATGTGAAATCGCTTTCGTTCCACGTCAGCCTTCTCTACGGCGACCTTGATACCAAAAACCACAGGCGTGTCCGCTCTTACCTTCACATTGCATCGTTCATGTTGTAAATTGTGTCAAATCCGAGGCGCTGGGATGTGCTTCTCACGAATGTCCCAGCTCGTTACACCTGAAACCAAAAATCCACTGGTGTTTCTTGAGAAGATAGGAAAAGCTCACGATGGTACACAAATGCAGAAATCGTTTGGATATATTTTTGATGCCCTCCTGTTGTGAATAGCCGATTCTCATTTCTGATTTCATACACGGGCGGCCATATATTTTATTTTCTCGCAAGCATAATGTGAATGCGCGCTAGCTTCTATATGTAGATGTGCACCTTTACTCATCTTTTGCTCTTTTTATAACAATCGCATCCACGTCTGAAATGATCAAGTCTTTTACAGAAGCGCTGTGATGAGCGCAGGCTTTCTGCTCCTGGGGCCACAGTTACTGCAGTTGTTTGAGAATGAGACCATGTAGAGAGGTTTTGGAGCTCTAGATAGTGTGGGTCATAGTCTTTCTTTGGTTTGCCGTCTCATCGCCGGAGCAAATCGCACCTCAGCAGCACCGTATTCAGAAAAGCCTCATGTAATGATGCTTTTAGTTTTTGCATATACAGCGGTTTGTAAAACATCAAATGTTTACTTTGTTGCATGTCTTTTGTTCTTTAAACTCCTGCAGTGTTTTCGAATGTTTCTTCTTTTTTATATCAAGCGCAGAGACATTCTCTTGTCAAGTTTTAACTTTTAAGATCTCTGCAAATGTATAAAAGGAGTAAAATGGAACAGCAAACTATTGTCTTTTTGATTCCAACTCGTTTTTGTGAAGGAAAAACTAACAAGGTGTAGGTTTCTTGGTCTCTTAATTTGTACTGGTTATGCATATTCCAAATAAATAGTTTCTTTTGTTGCAATATGATTCTCTCTGGCGTCTGGTTTCATTTGGGCATTTCTATTCAATTAGTGGAAATGAGATACTATTATAGTTTTTATTAATAGTTTTAATATTTTCTGATTTCATTTTAATTCTAGTTAAAGTTCTGGTAGTTTTGTTGTGTGTTTATGTCATTTTTATTAGTTGTTTTTGTTTATTATTTACAT